GACGAGATGGAATGATAAAGGTTCTTGCTATAGTTCATATGTAATGCTAATGAGCAAAATCTCTTTCCAAATTCCCTTGCAAGTATTGATGATTAGGTTCAGCTACTAAAATTTTGCTATTAAACAGCGAACAGTCAACAATTTACAGACTAACATTTGGATTATCAGACAGCATGTAAAAACTTGATCTAGCTCGAATTATTTTAATTCGAACTTGGGTTTTTGGTAGTAACAGTTTTTACCAGTAAGCAAATAAATGGCAAGCCTGCCATAGAGAAAAAAGTTATCTTTTATCCCAAGGAATTTGCTCCATCAGTGAACGGATACATATCAAATGCTTTGTTACTAACTAACTATTCATTTGTTACTATGTGCCGACAAAATGAATTCGTTCGATACTGGGATATATTCTATTGGCGTTGTAAGCCATTGTCTTTTTAAGATAAACTTAACAATTAGAGAATAGAGAATGTAGTAGATTGCTTATGTAAGTTAGGTAAGTTTGTTGTTCCTCATCTGAATCATCCTCCGACTTTGTTTATGTTCTGCGTTTTCTTTTTTGAAAGCGTCAAACAATCTTCCTTTGAGTTAATGAAGCTTGGAACTGAGTGGGTATCACGCAAATCCAAGTAAAGAAACAAGTTTTCCTTGTTTGAATTTGTAAAATGTACGTACTGAAAAGGACTACTTTGATATATACTCATTTAATTTTGTCAAAAATGTCTTTGCGAGAGCGACTGGTTTTCAAACTACTTTTACGAGAATTGGTTCTTCTAATTCTACGCGTGGATTTCTTTTTTCCACCTCCCAACTGTTTTTGAACTGTTTTTGTTCAATTTTGCAAATGTTTCGAGTATTTTTGTCTACTTACAGTTTCTCTAATCTCTGAAGCAGCAAGTTCAAATAAATCTGCTCCGATTCTTTTCGCAACTTGGACTTTTTATTTTTTAATAAAAAGAATTTTAGTTCACACAAGAGTTTGTGCAAGAGCACGAAAGCTCCTTCCAGGCTATCTTGCATGTCCACGAAAAATAGGAAATTGAGTTGAACTTTGAGCAACCTTTTAGAATGAAGAATAATTCAAAAATGATTATCCAAAATCTTGCAACTTGTCAAATTCCTACGGACAGAAAAGGTATTTTTTCACCTGAAGTATCCCTTTGTTCAAATTTTATGCTATGGAAAGAGTTTTTTTTTAAATAAATTCATAAATTGTAGATTTGTAAAGGATTGATAACTCATGTACTGACCTGTAAATATTACGTTTCCATTTTTTTCACTTTGAAAATGAAATGAATACAACGCACTAAAGGAGTTTTTGTAACACTTACTAGAATATAATCTATAATATTACTATAAATAAGTAGGGAACGTGTTCTTATAATGTTGTAAGAATACTGAGGATAATGTGGATCTTCTCCTTTTGTTATAACCCTTGTCTGGTATTGCTCTAAATCACAACCTAAATTTTGACCCAAATCAGCACTTTGAAGGATGAAGACTGATTGATCCTAAGATAAATGATTGGCATTGTTTTGTGTAATCTTATCTACTGATACATAAACGACATAAATTCCGTTATATTCAAAGTTTTGTGCGCCTACCCGTTTTCGAATTTTGTCATTGATTGCTGCAATTTTATCAACAAAACTTGAATACAATCGAGGTTCAATATGTATTGGTTGAATCTTTTTTTTTCTTCCGAACTTTCTCCCATCTATGAAAGTAAATTTTTCCTCAGTACCGTTTTGGTACAATGAAGGGTAAGTTATTTCTAAAATAGTAACCTCCCATTCTCCTTTAAGATGTATCCGAGAGAAAATTTGTAGAAGAACAAAGAATATATTTCGCATAACAATCAAAAGAAGCATTAAAAACTAGCTTAAGACTATATTTCGCATAACAATCAAAAGAAGCATTAAAAACTAGCTTAATGATATAAGTATCCATGACAACTGATCGATGGAATTTTAGTTTTTAATATGACTTACCTTTGATCAGAACATTTCTCAGCTCTTTTTCATAAAATTTTCCCAGAATTTTTCCTTTTTCGAAGTCTTTGATGATGTATGTAGGAGTTCTTTTGTAGAGTTTGCCGAAATTATGAAATTTCATCTGTAAAAAGTGGCTTGTATCCTTTTTGGCAAAAAATATCATTTTTCGGAACTCTCACTCTAACCCCTTTTTCAATTTTATTTTAGTAAATTTTATGAGCGATTTACTTTATAAAGGGTTGAAAAATGACTTTTTTTAAAATCTCTTGGATAATTTCCAATACATAGATTTTTACGACAGTCAAAATATAAACAAATTTTTGCAAATTGGGATTAAATTTTTCACCATGATCTTCAATGTAACGATATATTATTTGTTTTCAAGACTGAATTGCTTTCTCTGCGAATGCAGCTTTTGTTACACTCATTGTTGAGCAAACTTCAATGTCTTTCTTCTTGCAAATTTTTTTGAAAGTTCCCCACTGCAAATTTTTTTGAAAGTGTTTTTTTTTGAGAAATCATTTTTTTTTGATAGCGTGTAAAGTGTCTTTGGCATACTCTGTTTTCCTTGTTTGAACTCTTGTTAGCTAATTTATTTACAAAACCAAGACCATACACCAGATTTCATTAATATTTCTAGAAAACGCTTGAAGTCTTCAGAATAGCTTGATTGGCGGACCAATTTTTCTATGGGATGTTTCGCAGAGTAAGAATTGTTGTACTTTCTTTTTTGATAAACCACTCGCTTTACTCAAGCTTTGAATAGAACCGTAAGCAGCTCTACCCCTAGAATACATTCTGTTTATTCTTACCTTTTCAGAATTTGAAAGGGATCCAAGTTCCTCTGTCATTTGCTTTGGCTTTCCTGTTTATAACGAAATTAGGTGGAAGTTGAGTTGCTTCAAAAATAGTAAAGTAACAACCCGGAAAGTTGGTTTTTTTTTTGCTTTAGTGCACACACAAAGTCTACAATAGATTCTTTTGTATCTCGATTATCTAATATGATGTTGTGTGAGTGACTGAGTTTATTTCTAGGAGAATTCAATTTTAAATCAGAAAGATGTTCATTGTTACTCGTTTTCAACCTCGCATTTACAGCACTGTAAATAGAATCAAACTTATTTGGTACAATTTCCTCTTTTTCTTGTTTTTTTTTGAACTGTACTCTGTGGTTGATAAACTGAATATGGAATTAAGACAAACTATTCCAAACTGTGCCAATTGTTTAATGACAAAAGGGGTGATTGTAGATATCAATTATAACCCTTCAGTTAAACTAAAAATAATTCTTCTTTTGTGCGGAGGAGTTCTTTTTTTAAGTTAACTTTGAAAATTCTTTTCGATATTTTACTACGTCTTCTTTCCGAAGATCTCAAAGCTCTCCTCTTGATAGGTTGACTAAACACTCGCTCAGAAACTGAATGAAACCTTTTGGATAATTGAAAAAGAATTGTTTTCGAACTCTAACGGAATTTTTTTTTAAACTTTGGGAGAATAGAGACGTAATGTGTACACATCGTCCAAAAACGTTGTCATTTTACAGCTGGTGAAAAAAATTTTGTTAGAACTGAGCCACTATTAGAGCAATACCTAGGTGAATCAACTGTTTTTGGGGTTAAATGAACGAAAAAAAGAACCATCAAGAACATATGTTGCATCTTGATACTACTCTTATAATTGAGATCCTAGATCAAATTTTTGACTTAATGTATTGATTTGTAAAACATCTCTTGGCGAAGTGAACAAGACTATGTGTGTATTTTGTAAAACCACATCTGTTCCCAATTTTTTTGATGAAATAAATTGTGTTTGATGTATATTGTATTCAGACCCTTGTGTCTCCCAGCATTGGCAATTTTTACAAACTGTTTGGAGTTTGAAATTACTTCACAAGAATCATCAAATAAAAACAGATACTTAGTTCCGTTATTGGGAACATTTTTAATGAATTCAAAGTCTACTCCTTGGATAGAATTAAGGTTTCTTTTTTTCATTTGACAATAAGGAGGTTGTTAATGTTAATAAAATTTAAAAGTTTTGTCGAATGCTGGTTTAAAACACCGATTTTCAACCACTCAAAAATAAAATGTTGTT